CAGACCGTGATGTACGCTTCACTTCAGGTTCTGGAAGAAATTCCATGAGGATCTGGGTACAAACTGCATTTTAGTACCGCATACCATCCCAACAGACGGTCAGAGCGAGCGGACGATCCAGACATTGGAAGACATGCTTAGAGCGTGTGTGTTAGACTTCGGGGGTAGCTGGGATGCGCATTTGCCTTTGGTTGAGTTTTTCTTACAACAACAGCCATCATTCGAGCATTGGTATGCCACCTTTTGAGTTGTTGTATGGTAGGAGGTGTCGGACTCCATTTGCTGGGAGAGGTGGGACAGAGAGTGATGGGCAGTACAGAGATCGTACTCCAGACGACAGAGCAGATTCAGCAGGTTAGGCAGAGTTTATTGACCGCCCAGAGCCGACAGAAGAGTTATGCGGACAGACGCCGGTCCGAGCTGGAATTCCAGGTTGGCGACTTCGTTCTCCTGAAGGTTTCTCCTTGGAAGGGAGTGATCCGGTTCAGAAAGAGGGGCAAGTTGGGGCCCCGGTTCATAGGTCCATTTCGTGTAATTGCAAGGGTAGGTCGGGTAGCTTATCGGTTGGAGTTGCCAGCAGAGTTGGGACAGATTCACAATACCTTTCACGTATCACAGTTGAGGAAGTGTATAGCCGATGAATCGGCAGTGGTTCCGTTAGAGGATACAGGTGGATGCGAGCCTGAATTACGCGAGAGACCGGTAGCTATCAGGGATCGGAAGATCAAAGGTTCTGCGGAACAAGGAAGTACCTCTGGTGTTGGTTCAGTGGCAACATCGGAAAGGATCGGAGATGACTTGGGAGCCGGAGCGTGAGATGCGGGAGCAACATCCGGAGTTATTCGCAGAGTGAGACTTCGAGGGCGAAGTCTAGTTCTAGTGGGGGAGAGTTGTAACAGCCCGGAATTTCAGGTATTGCTTTAAAACTATTTTTGGGGCATTTTGGAAGGGACTCGGCGAGTTGGAGCCAGACTCGCCGAGTAGGACCACAGACTTGGTCGCGGGTTCGCGACTGGACTCGACGAGTCCAGATATGGACTGACGGAGTCGACGCTGTTCAGCAGAAACCCTAGCCGTTTGGTTTTGGATCGTATATAACGCCTTTTAGGCCGTCATTGTCCGTCTTTTTGGCCGATTGAGAAGAACCTAAGCGTCTGTGGACATCTAGAGCAGGAGTGAAGGCTATTGGAACCTTGAAGAATTTGTTAGGCAAGAAGAGGAAGGGTTTTGGCCAAAGGAAGATCAAGGGGATCGAGTTCTGAGGTTTGGGGACACAGAGAGTATGTTTTTCAGGTAATACTTCGGATCATTCCTGTTATTTTGATGTGTACACGGATTTAGGGTTTATGAAACCCATTTGTGATTAGATGGATTATTATGTTGTTACCCAAACGTTTATACCCAGTAATAGGATGTTTAGAGGTCCAGAAAGTCCCATGATTGTGTATTTCGGGACCATACGTATTTCAGGAAGCAGTTGATCGACTGCATGGCATGGACTCGCCGAGTCCAATGAACAGACTCGGCGAGTAGCTTGAAGATTCACTGGGACTCGCCGAGTTGTTCTTCAGACTCGGCGAGTGGAGTCGGGGTGGCCCCGCGATTCTTCCACGTGGATCTCGTCGAGTCAAGGGGGATACTCGACGAGTAGAAAGGGAACATCAGGGAAAGTTGAGAGGACGTCTCGACTCGTCGAGTCACCTTTGCACTCGACGAGTCCGGTCCAGTTGACCGTTGACCAGAGTTGACCTGCATATAATTTCTTAGGGTCAGTTGTCTTGAATGATAAGAGTATTAATAAGGGTATATGGTATTATAGGGAGTCTGCAGATCGGCGGATCGAGTGCGAGTGATTTCAAGAGTTGATAGTTTTCATTACCACGAGGTGAGTCTTCTCACTATACTACACCCGGAAGGTCGGATATGATATGTGTTATTTATGCTATAAATAGAAAGGTAGTTGCTGTGCATGCTATGTGTATTTACGGGCCGGAAGGCAATATGTTATGTGACAGAAAAGTCAGGTATGATATATGATACATGTGTTATATGTGTTAGAGTAAATGTATTATGTGCTGTATATGCTTATGGGCCGGAAGGCAATACGTTATGGGCCGGAAGGCGATATGTTACGGGCCGGAAGGCAATATGTTATGGGCCGGAAGGCGATTATTTTACGGGCCGGAAGGCGATTATTTTACGGGCCGGAAGGCGAAGTGTTGTGGACCGGAAGGTCAGGGCCTGGAAGGGCGTATGTGTGTAAGTCGTATACTGGGGAACTCACTAAGCATTTATGCTTACAAGTTGTTATGTATGTGTTTCAGGTACTAGCGAGGACCGTGGGAAGGCGCTGGCATGATGCATACACACTGCTGCTATTTGAGATCTTGGGGATTTTATATATGTATTTGATATGAAACATGGAATAAATACTATTGGTTGAATGAAATCACTTTATTTTAAATGAAAAATTTATTTGAAAATTTGCGTTGTTACAACTACTATCTCACACGACTCTAACACGACATCTCTGTTAATATTTCACAAAACCCATTACTACCCAATCTTATTATTAAGTATGATAAAGTATAGATAGTTTAACCAAGTAATAATTATATCATGTTGCACGTACGTATTAAACACGTCGAGACAGTACATATATCATTTAAGCAATTAGAATACTTGTATCTATGTGTAAGTTTGAAAGTAACTATGCACTCACTTGACTTACGTGGGTGACTGGTGATCTTGACAGAGTTTCGCATAACACCTTAGATGTTCCCTTAAAGTGACCTAAGTATGATTAATTCGGAGTCTTAGTCTAGTGATACTGGTGACTAATGGTAGTATAGATTCATCACTAATCCCAATATCTACATCAAGATCTATCAAGTAAGGATCAATCATGCTGACAGTTAAGTAGTAGGATCATTTTGAAATAATAACTTTTCTGAAATCCAACAACCAAGCCAACATGATCATTCTAGACACCTCTCCCGTAAGTAAATCAACCAGTATAATGACTTGGAATTACTGATAAATCTTATTTATAGGTCCATAATAACGACTTATGACTATAAATATAAGTTATATTGAAAGAAATAAAGTGTAGCTTAACTTACAGATGTTTTAGCAAAAACCAAGATCTAAACGGGTAGAACACTAACTCAGGAACTCTTACTCGAAGATTACAACTAGTTGAGCACTCAGGGGTGTCGTAGGGCTTCGTCGTAGGCTAAAAACAAAGGAAAAAGGGCTAAAATCAAAGAACTAGAGAGAGAGAGAGAGGGCTCTAGGGGTAATGGGTGAGGAACTTATACGTAGGGACTATTTATATGTGATTTTTCCAAGTGCGCATCGTACGCTTCTGCGACGTCGCTCCTCTCGGCTCGTGCCACGTGTACGATATCAGTAGTCCACATACTCATCTTCTATAAGGTGTCACGTGTCCTGTTCCCATGGTGCCACATATCAAAATCTTATGGAGCCATGTCAACTTGTCTCTCGGAGGAAGGCGTCTCCCGACCATGCCACATGGCGCCCTCTCTTGGTGCCACGTCATCGCGCAGGCGATTTTCTAGATTTTCAAAATGGCATAACTTCTTCATACGAGTTTCATTTTCGACGTTTTTTAAATTTTCAGAAAGCTCTCGACGAGATCTACCTCTAAACTCCAACAACTAATTCTCACTCTATCAAAAATGTATATTTTGACAGGCTTAGGTTGTTTAGAAATTGTTGTAGAAAGCATAACTCCTATATACGGACTCCATTCTCGATGTTCCTTATATCGACAAATTCTTATTAACGAGACCTTCACCTCTCATTTAGATTGTTTAGGCTAACAGTCAACCGATCTAAAAGTCGGTATCAATGTGCACACTGTTGCGTTGAATTTTAGAAAAATCATAACTTTCTCTAATGAAATTAGATTTAGACGTTCTTTATATGCACGCTCTCGGTTTAACGACTACTATGACTTTCGTTTAGATTACTTAAGCTAAAAAATTATTTGTTAAAATCTCACTTTTTATGATACGCGGAGCTGTGTTGGTTTAATCACGAAATTTCAAAGAAACATAATTTATTCATACGAAGTCGGATTTTAACATTCTTTAAAAGTGAGGAATACATGTCACACATTATAATTTGGTTAAAATTATTTATCCTAAATAATTTTCTATTTGAAAAGTCATTATTATGACTTATAATAACTTATTTGCCTAGCCCGAATTTACAGGTGTTACAAAGGTCTTCAGAAATATACACCTCTCTCCTATATCAGAAATATACACCTCTCTCCTATATCGGTTGTGGACGATGTGATTTCATTATCCTACACGTGGCATAAACATAGGGGTGGGGTACAAGTGTAAACCGGGCGAATTGGTCTTGTTATCCTTTGATTTTTCTTTGTAAGATGTACCTTGATACAATCACATCTTACCTCCTTCTTTAGTGTGGTTTGTCTTATTTTAAATATATTTCGCCAAAAAAAAAGAAAGAAAAAAAAATGTTTCTCATAAAAAAATACCATTTTACATAAACCTGACCTTGTTTACATCATAAAAGTTAGTCCAGTCTAAAGTATATTTTTTTTCAAAATTACTTATCAACATTGAGTCGTTACTTCTTAAATGGTCTTCCATGTGGTCTAGTCTCCATCTCGTCTGTTGACCATGCTTTTAAACCTAGGACCACCTCCACACGTAACTCCACACGTGACGGCCGCACTCTCGATCTCATTGAAACTTGAGCCACCGGAACTTTTCCAGCTGGCTGCTCCACCACCAGACGTGGCGGCTGCCTTCTTGGCCTCCTCTCCAAAACTTCAGTTTTCTTTGTAACTTTTGATAGACAGAACTTATCTTCGCTTCTGAGAAACTTAAATACACATTTATCTCCTTCACATAACTCATTAGCTCGCCGAAATTCACTCCACCCCGCTGACAAATAGTATCTTGTATAGTTACGGCCCTCTGAAAGCAACTTCATCGGCCACTCCTTCCCGTTAAGATTCTTCATCTTTATGCTTTTTCTTGCTTTTAATCCGGTCAACCGTGAAAATTCCAACGGAATCCGCTGATGTAACCATATTTATGCGAGCAAAACTTATTATTATTATTAATATTTTATTTTTGGAAAAAAAAATCTATTTATGATACCTTTTATCTTACCAAAGTATATTTGTCTTTAGATATAATCTTCATAAAGAAAGGATTCCCGTCATCCCCATCAATATCACCACCATCGTCATCGTCATCCTCATCTTCCACATATTCTACTCCATTGCCACCATCATCATCATAATTTTCATCATCTTCTTCTTCTTCATCAGATTCTTCCTCTTTCTCTGCTTCCTCATAATTATCGTCAGTTTCTCCTTCCTCTTTCTTTGCTTCTTCTTCATCAATGTTATCATGTTCATCCTGGATTTTTAAGGGGAAATTTTTTTCGCACCCATTTGGACTGAAAATTGAAAGTTTGAAAGTGGATTCATCAACGAGCCAAAACACAAGAAAATCCCCAAATCCCAAGTCGCTATCTTCAACAACGTCACTCCATCCATCGGCAAAGCAGTAAATTTCACCTTCTTTTTTTATTTTTAATCTCCATTCATACCCTCCATTTCTTGATAGGAGTGTTGGGTTCTCAGGGATCTTCTTCTCCAAGTGCTTGTGGACAAAACCAGGTGGCAATTCCTGCAAAATTGCATGAGAATGAAAATTACAGGAAAAGGAAAAATAGAAATTGGATTACTTGAAATAAATGATTACCAGGTGAGGGGCAGAACGGTCAAGCAAGATCTTGAAGAAGGACGGGAGCCCACGAGGGGCCATTTGCAGAGGGCTTTAGAATTTGGGAAAGAGGGATGCCAATTGCCAAACATATGTGCCCTTATTCCCCCGTACACCTGAAACATCAATAAGTTTTGCTATAAACAAGAAGGATGAACCTATCTTCTGCTCATTTTAATTACATGGTGACTATAGGTACATTCATATGTGACTCGCTAAGTTCATGGATTAATATATCAAATTACATATTGTTCCAAACGTGAGAATAACATATTTTAGAGAAAACTTGCCGAGACATTTTGTCAAACACCTTATATGCAATGAACTTCTTTATAAAGAAACAATACGGATTTACCAGGTAGAAATACCATTTTGTTTTCATATGCCGTTTCTAGATTTACTCGTGGTCCTTTCATTTCAAGATTTATGATTTCTCAGTTCAAATATGTTTGGGTATTTGGTTTTTGGTTTAAAATACTCGGAATCAAATAGAGAATTAGGGTCCACTGGTGATTTCTTGGGAGAAAAGGGGAGAGTTGTGTGATTTATTTACCTGACTTCCTCGGATGCATTCGATAGATTAAATAATGATGAACCTCGAAGACAGAATGAAGAGTTAGTATCCATGCCATACACTGATGTCGATGACGAAATTAAAGTTCAAAAAGATATATCGAAAAGGAGAAAGACTTTGGGAGAGGATGGAGAGAGAGAGAGAGAGAGAGTGAAAAAGGGTAGGTTGAACATAAATGTTGAATTACCAAAGGTAAAAAAATAAAATAAAAATAAAAATAAAATAAAATAAAATTGGTGTTACAGCTCTAGACTGAAGTCACTGAACATACCACAAGCATAAAAGTAAATTACATGAATCGTAAGGTTTCTTTATTTTGTTTTTTGTTGCGTGTATGGTTATTGTTTTATCTAAAAATACTATTTTATCCTTGATTTTTTTGATTTATTTAAATAAGATACGGTATGTAAAGTAAGATGAGTTTGAAGTGAGGTTGAGGGTATGTTTATATAAATAAATTAAAAAATCCAGGAAAAAAATAATCTTTTTAAGTAAGATAGGGACCAAACACGCAGCAAAAAACAAATAATATTGACCTTTCGAGTTAAAAAAAATAAATTAAAGGTTAAACGTGTAAATCACCACAAACCATAGGAACCATCCGGGTAATTTACTCAAAGTAATGTTTTAGGTTGAAAATAGTCTTAAAAGTTTGGCATAAAATTTTTTAAAACAAAAAATTATAGAAAGAAAAAAAAAAGATAAATCAATCAATCAAAGTTAACCATTCAATGTTTTTTCTTCTCTCACTATGTAGTTGATGAGTTCATCCGATCAGCTAACCCCCCTTAGGTTATGCGGATTCGAAGGTGCCAAGCCAAGTGCCAAGGATGCCAAGTACATTGAAACACCTCCCCCTAGCTCTCGCTAGGGGGCTCGCCATCTTTGAGTCGTCATGGTGTTAGCGAGCTTAAAGAAATTCATAGATTGGTTGCATGCAAAATGTTACAGCTTTATTTGCATGACAATAAAAAACAAAACTCATATCTGTCACAAACTATATATATATATATATATATATATATATATATATATATATATATAAAAGTTCGATTGGTTGCATGCAAAATGTTACAGTTTTATTTGCATGAGAATAAAAAACAAAACTCATATTTGTCACAAACTATATATATATATATATATATATATATATATATATATATATATATATATATATATATATCAAACACACTCTCACCAATTTACACACAAATATCATATCTCTCATAAACATTCTCTCTCAATTCACCAAAGAATCATGTCTTCATCTCAAACAAAGAAAAACCTACGAACCAACAAAGAAAAAAATCTTCAAACCCTCCATCACTACACCTTCCTACTCCAAACACTTAATCAACAAACCTTCCATCCCCAAACCTTCCATCACCACCATGTTATCGACCATCATTTGATCAACCAATTCAGTCTTCTTCTAACTTCTACTTTCCTACAATGGCTCCGCAAATGTTTCCATTTAATCATTTCTCTTCTCAACCGATGGGCTTTTACCACAACCAATCTCAACCAACACCTCGTCCGGATATGGATCTTGATCCGTTTGAAATGGTTCAAGAAACTCAATTCTTTTCTCAACCCCAACAACAAACTGACTTTCAAACTCAACCACGCCGCCTACTCCACGAGTCATCCGATTCTTCTGATGAAGCCCCCGTTGCAGATCCAGTTCAAGCATTTTCTCAAGAGCCCGAAATGGAACAACATGCACAAAAGAAAAAAGGAAAAGGGAGGGCTAAAAGTATAGGGTGGATGGATGATGAAGAAAGGGCACTAGCTCAATCATGGTTAGATGTGTCAAAGGACCCGATCCACGGGAATGACCAAGACTCAACAACCTTCAAAAAAAAGTTTGGAATAACTTTTGCAACCGCATGAATAATAGGGACCGCAAACCCGATGCACTTTACTCGAAGTGGAGGAACACAAACCGAGCCGCAATGGAGTTCAACGACATATACATGAACGCCATAAAAAATCCCCAAAGCGGTGCAACTGAGGTGGATGTCATGGCTAAGGTGCAAAATATTTATGTGGCAAGGTGTCAATAGTGTCACCATTCCTTACAAAATGTTAAGTGTAAGTGTTAAACAAAGAAAAATGATGTGACATTAAAAATACTTATGTGGCAAGGTGCCAAGAGTGTTACCACTCCTCTTAGTCTTAGCAGAAGACAAGGAGTGGTGCAAGGCATGCTTAGCATGCTTGCTGGCGAGTGGTTTGTCAACCCCTTGATATGACAGAATTTAAAACTTTTCTGATTTGATTTAAATAAATTATTTTTATTTATTTTTGTTTTTTATCGTTCGGTTGTTTTTATCTAATAAAATCTTTTTCTTTTTTGTCTATTAATTTCATCAATCAACAATAACCCGATTATCCGTTCCCGTTATCCTCACATTACGTCCTTAAACATCTATCATAAGGGACCTATCCTAAGGATCATCATCGGGATGGACACTACTGCTAAGGGGGTTCCTCAGCAATAAATGTCCTAAAGGCAACCATGTGGGGATGGAGTACACCGGTGAACACATCATTCATAAACACCTACAGGTTGCGAGCCTGTCAACGTTCCATTGGACTCTCTAGAAGAGTCTGTGGTCGTCATCTATACCCCGCTAGATGATTGGATCAACAACAACAACATCGAGGCCTCTCATCATTTTATCACACATCACCTATTACATATACTCATGTTTTACCCCAACATTTTCATAGATATAAAATACATATACAGTTTAAATCATTGAAAACATGTATAACAATGTTCATCCAACATAGATAGCAAGTATTCAGATAATATGCACACATAGCACGTAACGTATATAAAATACTTCATATCTATGTGTAAGCTGAAAGTAACTATGCACTCACCTGAAAGGTGGTGACTCAGCACTCGGACAGCGCTTCGATACTCTCAAAATGATTTTCCTTCGATAAAACCTAGTATCGATACCACTAGGGTTTAGTCTAACGATAACCGCGACAAATTAATTGTCTGACTATTATTATTATTATATAAGCGTTAATAACACTCAACATAACTCATAATAATAACCCAAATAATTATTTTAAGAACCTAATAACATTCCTCTAATTATTTGAAAGCTATATTAAAATTTGCGTAAGCGTAGCACACTTACAGCGAATTTTATCGAAAACCGGAACTTAATTGGAGCAGTGTTTCGTAACCGAAAGACTCATTTTTCTCGGGACTCCGGGAGCCTCGGGGCTTCCCTAGGGTGCTAGGGGTTTTATCTAGGGCTTAGGGGGGTTTAGAGCACTTAGAGAGAGAAAGTTTTTAGAGAGAGAATGAGTTTTGGTGTGAAAATGAAGGCTGCCTTCGGAACCCTTTTATAGGCGCGAAGTTCGGACATTACGTAGGGTGTACCGAGGGTACGCTGGGTGTACCGAGGGTACGCTGGGCGTACTCCTCGGATCAGGCTTCCAGGTCGGATCCAGCTGGCTTCGTACATCGGACGGATAAGGGCGAGGGTACGCGGGGCGTACCGACTTTGGACGCGGGGCGTAAAGCGAGGGCAGGTGTGAAGATCCGAAGCGAGGATCGTGAACCGCAAGCGACGGTTGGGATCGTGCCACGTCATCAGTCTCGCACCAAGTTTCGCATTTTCGAGTCCCAACTTCAAAAAATCGTATCTTCCACATACGAGCTCCATTTTTGACGTTCTTTATATCCACGCGAAGGTGAGAGCATACTCTACAACTTTTGTTTAGACTCCATCGGCTAATTTTGACTCGATTTTAACTTTTATATTATTAACGGTCCGGGACAGGATTGGTCCGTTAAATCCTCACAACTTCTTCATCCGAAATCCGTTTTCGCCCATCTTTTTCTCGTTACACTACTCTCAACGAGATCTTCGATTCTCGTTTAGGTCGTGTCGGCTAAAAATCACTCGATCTAATATTCGAATTTCGGGTTGTACACTGCTATTCCGAAACTTCGAAAAATCATAACTTCTTCATACGAAGCCAGATTTGGGCGTTCTTTTTATCGATGTTCTTAGTTTAACATATTCTACAACTTTCGTTTAGATCGCTAAGGCTAAATCTCGCTCTATCTTAAATTCACTATTTACACTTTCCGGTATTGTACGGTTCTGTCGCGAAACTTCGACGGGTCATAACTTCTTCGTTATAACTCAGATTTCGACGTTCTTTATATGTACGGAAACCTTGAGACATGTTATACAACTTTATGTAGAGATATCGAGCTTATCTCACACTTTAATCTTTGATGCTTATTTTTATTCTTTATTAATTATACATTTATAATTAAATTATAAGCACATAAATACACATAATTCACATAATAGTCAACTATTTCATCTTTATTACTTCAAAAAGAGTTACAAGAATTGACCTAGACTATTACATTGACAAAAATGCTTATCCTTGAAACCCGGGCGTTACATTTGGATATTATCTTTGACTCTAAAATCTATCTGAAACTAAAACCCCAAATCAAATATGGTGGGTAGTGGTGGTTTTCTCTACATTTGTTACTTGTCGATGTCGGAGCAACTATGACAGAGGTTCCCATAGGATTGGGGTGGGTTTGTTACACCATGGGTTGAGGAATTTACGAGATCTTTCATATGCTTCAAGGTTGTGCACTTTAGATGGATAATTGTGACATATATAGATCTTGAGATTGTCGCCAAAGCTCGTGGCCATGTTCTTCAATTTCTTAAGCTCGATTTCACTGAATAGTAAGAAGAGTCAATCTTCATGTTCATGTCGTAGGATACATCTCTAAAAACCCTTCATCATATCTGATTTCATGTATGCGTGTGTTCATCATATATGGGGTTCATGAATGTGAGTGTATGTTCTTGAGATCTTGATAGGCTTCAAAGGCTTATTGGGGGGGGGGGTAGGGGGCTGGGGATTAATTGTCGAAGGTAAATATGGTGAAAGAGGAACCAATTGGGTGGAGCTCTCGTGGAGGGTTTGGCAAAATGGGTTTTATGATTCAAAACTGATGGGTTGTGAGCATATCTACATTCCTTTGTGATCATGCAACACTAATTGCTTTGGATCTAAGTTTTTCACTATTGAACATGCAAATTGAATTCCAAAGCA